TACGTAAGACATCCGCTTGAAGAAGATATTTAATGTCTTTGTGTGAGATACTGTGATGATATATATATATATATATATATATATATTGCACCAACATAAGTGCAATCGTTGCATGTTAGCTATTTACCAGCTTACATACCGGTCTTTTTCTACCTATGATGATGGTGAAAACCCAGTCACATGGAGTTTCTCTTTCAGGGAAGGAAATCGTACCAAAGTTTGCCTAAAGTGTAGTCGGTAATTCAAGCTGAGGCTTGTTTCCTCCCGGGTCCAGAAATTCATTGTATGTTTCAGGCAACCAAACTACAGTGGATAATTCTGCGGACCACAACGCAGTAATAAACTTATGACTAGAGGAGTTCGCTTTAAGCTTGACGTAAAAAATTGAATGAAATTGCCACCGCACGTTATTCTCGTGATTTCTTTTGGTTCTGTTTCTTTATGTGCGCCCATTTCGATACACCCTACCGGTCAAATGGAACTCCACTAATCCTACCGTCACGGATGACGGTTACAAACTAGATTTGTTTGCGGCACTTCACATTTACCTTCAGCATTCACAACCTTGCCCGCCATTAACTAAACACAGCCACACGTATCGGCACGTTTTGACTGCAGTCATATTTTGCACCTTTGTGAGCATTGTACACTGTCATTCAGTGACTTACCTCCTCGAATACATTCGAGCTGGCTAGCTCAATGGCACTTGACCAACCATGGGAGGCGAATCCGAACGAACGAATTAACTGACTCCTTCACAGCCCAAATTCCGTTGAAATAAAAAAGGCATGTTTGGGCGATTCGTCGCGGTTCGATTGAGAAACACATTGCGATTGCACTTTACTTAGTCTGTGTAAGGTCGACCTTCTTTTCTGCTTGATACGGGCTAATTAATACATTGTTATACGGTTGTGTAGTGCAGCAGAAATCCGCAGGCCTGACAATACATGCCAATAGAGGAGAAATTCGCATACGGAACGCTAGTGGCGTTTCATTAACCTTAAGGTGATTCACAACTTCCAGTTTAATTTGCACAGGACATTGTCTACTTTTTCCTTACATGAAAACTCAACTCGCTCTCCACTGATGATTTTGGCCTTCTCACTCTTACCTAGCAGATGTAGCCCCAGAACAACCAGATGATCTATCTTTCTACTTGAACACCAGATTTTCCGTAAATAGAGATCGTTATACAGAAGAGCTTCAGGTGGCATTCTGTTGAGTCCTTCACGAATATCAGTTTAATTTGTAGTCAAGATTATTTCGTTTCGTGCCGGTCAATGAGGCAGACAGAGGAAATGTTTTCACTGTGTCGGACGGGCCCGGATGTAAGTGTAGCTTGGGAACTACCTAGGGTTGTTATGACTCACGTATGTGTCTTACCGCAGTACAACTATCCTCTACCGCTATTCCTCGTCTTTCAATGACCATAGAAAATGGTGCCCAGTGCCTTGATTGTGTCTAGTGTTGTCTTAGTAGATCACAATGTAGCCCAGAGTACACACCCATTTATAGGCATATGATTCTTCCGCTTGTTGACGGGGTCTTAATTTTTGGTAGCCTGTCACCAAACCACAGTTTTTTTTTCATAATGCGGTCCTTGAATAGTTTGCGCTGGTACCACAAACAGAACGAAAGTCTTGCCTGAATGGTCCTTGAAAGTTTGCGCTGGTAGCACAAACAGAACGAAAGTCTTGCCTGAATGTTTGATGTAACATTTCTAATGCGTGATTTTTATCACACCGCAGTGACAGCTTTCCTTCATTCCAGGCTGAGAAAAATTTAGTTTTTTTGTCCTATTCACTATGCAGTTTTCGCCACTAAATGTCCGATTCCCAGAAAACCTGAGACACATCTGACATGAGACTTATTCATAGCCTCATCAACAGTCAAACAATGAACGATGCTTCAGATCGTGGCGCTTTTATGATTCATTTGCAAAATTTATCCCACCACACTTTAGATTCTCCGGGAGCTCCGCCTAGCGCATCGGCTCATACACTTTTTCGTGGATTTAGCTATGTTGCACCATCGTTCTTCGTGGAAAGTGACTCAAACACAGTGAATTCTGGGCAGCCAGCTGATCTTCTAAAGGAACGCAACGGTCGATGTTCCCCGGAGCCAGCTGTGCCGGAAGTCGACAGCAGTAGTGCCACAGAAATCGGTAAGTTAACCACATTTTGCCGCTGAGAACAGAACACTGCACTGCAATATGCGCACTGATGTACCTGCTGTATGCCGAGGTCTAATTGCCCTTGTGCCGTGTGTCTATCTTGAGACTCTTGTTTTTGGACTTACTCGATTTAAGTGCGGTCTGGCGTTCTGTACAGAATTTCAATCACAGCCATGCGTACACTTACACTGTGGGTAAACCTAACTTCAAACTCGCCTTTAACTTTCCCTCCTTCATAAATACGACGGATGCCTTATCGTTTCTATTCATGATTTGTACCTTGACTGATCTCAACTATCTTCTAATGGAACTAGTCTGTGGATATTCATCTTTCTATATTGTTCCTTCAAACCAAACTGGATTGTCAGTGGATTCAGAGGGCATATGGTACAAAAATGTTGACAAGCAGATGCTAAATATTAGAAATAATGATTCCTCGTGAGGAGCCACTGTAACACAACAAGTAGATATCAAGGTCATTGATGTATAAATTTAAAAAAATAGGCAACTGACAATCGCCAGGTAGCTGCCTCGAAGTCTATCCTGAGTGAATAATCTCGTTATCCACAGTATGATCTTGTGCATGCTTAATGAAAACAGGGAAAGACGGCAATTAAGCTGTTATAGGCCGAATACTGGCTTATTTCATTCCCCAAATTCGTGTGCTGGAAACCCTCCCACAATATAATAGGCCAGTATGTAAAGGATTCTCAACAAAATAAGTAAATATCTTGGGCTATCAGTCCGGATTTCAGCTATCAGCTTATAATGGTCTCTAAAAGATCGATCCGAATCCTTTTAATGCACCACTGTAACCCAGAGGAGGCATCACTGCGACCCACTACCGGCGCGTGTTCTCTTGACATGTTCAGGGCTAAATATGAAAACCTAACGGCTGATGCCCAGTGGAATGATATTCTTTGATCATGATATGAAGTCTGACCTAACTTCGACAAACTTCGACCAGCCTGCTTCTTCCGGAGAAATAATTGCAAGTTCATGCTAGAAAATGGTACCTGAAACGACTACTGCAGGCCATTCAGTGCCAAATTAAAACTGTTTGAAAATACGGAATTGTTTGAACCGTTCATCTCCAGTGGTTTTTCGTAAAAGTTTCAAAATTCACACTCGGTGTTGAAATTCAATCCTTTTACCCCAATCCGCATTGAATCAACACAACTTTTCGGAACTTTTCAAAAAGATCAATATGTTGAAAGTTTTTTATTTACCTTCCGACCAATTTGGCTGACCTTCTGAAACAGAGCAGTAAATATTTAGAAGAGTTTTGAAAATTCGACAAGTGGCAAAAACATTGCACACATCAGTATATGGACTAGTGTGTTAAAACTTTTTTTTCGGTGGCAACTAGGTAAACACTTACCATACTAGAGAGTGTAGAACATCTGAGTCTATTTGAACTCGCACACGTTTATCTGCTCAGAAGTACTCCTTGCGAAGTGGAAAGCATTTCGCCCTTAGCGCTGGTAATTATTCTCCTTCTGGTAGTTAATTTGTACGTAAGCTGTAGGTAAGCAGCTGGTGTTGTTTTGCGCACAAACTCGTCTGTTCACCTCCCAGACCACTGACAGTCCGTCGATCACAATGTTTATGTTGCACGCTTGTATGCCCACACGACTTGTCTCCAGTGATGGTTCGAAAACAACAGGTGCGTAGATGCCACACAAGTCGGATGTTTTCCAGTGTGATATGAAGTACGGTGCTCAGAAGAGACTCGGAAATGTTTGTTTACTATTCAAGCTATCTATCGAAACTCCAGGGTACGTGTTTTTTTTGTCGAAAACTTTAGCAAAGAGATGATGAAATAGATGCCAAAAATAGTTTTTTTGTTTTATGCCGACCTGAATTAGGCGGAGCGCGTAGCGAATCAGGCTTGCTCTTCACATCAGTTGTTGTCTAATTTCTAATTTTCTCAGTACGGTATACCGAAGTTGAAAATAGAAATACCCGTGCGTTTATAGTCCATGTGTCGGTGTGCGTGGTCCATTGGCTTCTGAAAAGGATTCGAGGGTCAACATTAGTTGATCCACGCGTAACGCAAGTGGTAACTTTGCAAGTGAACGCGCTGTAGAATGCGGATCGGCTGTGCCTCTGTTAAGCCGACTGAGCTAGATCGGAGGGCAAACGAGCAAATAACGTTGTGAGTATCCAGTCGGCTTAGGCATAACAACGCGGAAATGAGCAGCAGAATTGGTTGGTATTCACAAGCCACTGACGTCATTCTTTACTTCTTTCGAATTGTAGCCGAGTGAAGTGGTTAACCATGACAATGCCCCTTGAAGCATGTCCATTATCGTCCCTCAGATGGAAGTAGATAGCCAGGCGGTAAGATAGCAGTCAAATGGAATAAGATGTATCACTTTGTATCGTGTTGGTGTCGGTACATTTCCTAGGCTTTCTAGCTGTTGAGCAGCCTCTGAACTTGAAATTCAAAAACCTTTGGAGCATCTGATGAGGGCATCTGATTCATCTCTGCTGCGATATTCGGGCAGTTCCCAGATAGCGATAATCAGTATAGTGGTTTTATCATCCTCATTCAACACACACAAGTCGTACTGTGGTAGTCCTGCAACGAAATGAGCGAATTATCTTTTCAGGAGAAACTGGAAGGCTTTGGTTACATTCACAGGGGAACAAGACGCTCGAACAAAAATGGTGTGAGATTTCTGTCGCCAAGGTGCATCCCAGCACTCTCCGGCACCATAGTTTAACTGACGAGGAATGCCAGGGACAGTGGGACCCAGATGGAAATCTGTCACCCAACCAGAATACGGCACGGAACTGTCAGAATTCACCTAGCACAAGCGCATCAGTACCAACGCTGTTGATTACCTGTCTGGCTGGTCACAATATGGAGGGAGCTTCACTTTCAGTCGGCCTTCTCGTTACAGCGTGACTAAGTTCACCCCAGACAGGTTTGGTGCAGCTCATGTCACGCGTGGCCGGATCCCTGAACGACAACCTATCAGAGATAAACTCACACACACCCTTTATCCTGGAATGTTTTCTTTTGTTCATTATCTTCTCAGCCTAGGTGAGGAAAATTTTTGATTACGTGGAGCTTCAGGTTGCAATACACTGTGGGTACCTTTGAGCAATCAGGCAGATGCACCTGTGCTGCCAGCAATCCATGAACTACCTGAGCCTCCTATATACTCCAAAATGTAGCTAGCTGGCATTTATGTGTCATCATTTTTCAGCATCACCTTCAGCGTCAGGGTCGGAACTTGACTGTATGCTAGTTAGGAAAAATATGGCAGGTTCTGGGTGGAAATTCAGTGATACCACAGTCACCAAACTGTGAGCCCTAGACTTTCCACCAAGTACTGGTTTTTGTGTCAGATGGCGTCAAAAAAACCCTAGCTTTATACGGTAATTTCATAAAAAGTGGACGAGGTCTTGAGTGCTGTAACTCCCTAAAACTAAGCCTTTGACAATTCGTCTGATTCTTATGTATTGATATATATTTAAACGCCAAATCACTCTGACTTACACAAAATATACTACATCAGCGATTTTGGTGACCATCTGTACCCTCTGCACGAAATAATACGAGGGAAACACCTGCATCAGTGGGCAGCTAAAAACCACCGCTCTAAAGTGAATGCTTTTATATAACTCCGTATAGGAACCAGTCCATTTCATTAGCCGATTGATCACCAATGAGATTCCATTTAGGGTCAGTCAAGCCTACTGAATTCAAACCTACTGCCACACAGGGTCTTATTTTCCCCAAATTCGTCATTTTGGAGGTAAAAAATGTTTCCTCCTGTCACTGAAATAACATTTTACGCATGACAAACGCTTTTTCGATTATTCCATGTATGAATTTTTAACCGGTCAATAGAAAAAAGTAAGCTCAGAGTGCTTAGGTGTGAACAACACGGTTAGATTTCCGAATAATTCTAAAACACTTATTTTACATCTTGCTAATTTAGGGGGAATTAATCTTCTTGCTGTCGTTTTTTCTAACAGATTGGCCTTAAAACCCGAAATTTCCCAAGCCACACCATTATCGGCGTCAGAAATTATAGAACCTTTGAAGGTTATGGGAACCTGATATAATACATCGAAATGTGTCACCGAGCTATCATTTTGAAAGTGAATCTAGAATGCACTGGTCACATAGACTCGGTAGAAATTATTCCTACCAAAAAATAACGCAGAACTTTTTAAAGAGAGCATACGCTATATATTGTTGTCTTGGGGTCAAATTGTACTGCAAACGAGAGTAATTTGAGTGACTGTACGAATCCGTCAACCGCTTACAACTAATTAGGTTGTTTCTGGCAAACTTCGAACGGCAAATCGTGGTACTTGGCAATTGGCACTGTCAGGGATAAACTTGTGCACAAAAATGAACCTTAGTCAGAAGAAATTTTTTTCACAGCTGTGATTCCGGGGAAGATGCACAGATTCGTTAAATGGAGTGAGATGTATCTACTGCAGCCACTGGAGCCATATGTAACTTAGTTTGGTTTATCAGATGGCATCATAATTTTCTGGTGGCAGAGTTTTCAATAGGTGATTACAGGAATATTCTAGTGTGTTGAGAGATACGCTCGATGAAGTGTAGCACTCTTGGGATCTCCCATAGCTTATTTAATATAACTTGCTTTTGGAAAAAAGCTCTGCGGTTGGGGTTCCATCCGTGAACGACGGATGACTTCATTTGCAGTTCTTCTGGCGATGACCACTCAGCAAACAGGAACTGAAATTGTAGATTGGTCATTCATTACAGGGTCGGAAAGTACTTGGAAGCTTGACGGTTCAGAAATACCGAACGCATTACTGAGAAGCCATGTATGCGCATATTTGTTTACTTGTCTCCGAGCCGGTGCGTGCTATACTGATGGAACGACAGTCGTTAATGGAAGACTCTGTCAACATTAGGACACTACTTCATTCACTGAGGTGGCTCAATCCAATTAGGGGCTGCATTTGTGGCCCCAAGAAGTAAAGGAATAAATAAATATATATTCTCGCTTCTGTATTTCGTGAGGTTTCGCTCGATTGGTGGTCGGCAGAAGACCTGAATTTTGCCTAACCTTAGGTCATGTATTTTCCACTCTTGGTCCGTCGTTCTGCATTAAATTTGATAGTTTTGTCTGAATCAATAATGACCGAAACATCGTCTGTCCTACTCACCACGCCTTATTAGTCCTCCAGTCACGGTAACAGGGCAATTTGGAGTGATACGTATCACTACCAATAATAGTATCCATGACCAGGGTTAATTGCCCCTTGTTAGCGTCTAACATTTCATCTGTTACGCATGGGAGTTTTGCCGTAACCACTGCTGGTCAAAGTTTGTGCGTTCACAGGTGTATCCAGTGAATGAAATGTATATCAAGAAGCATTCCGTTAATTAAGCGCATCTTATCCTGCGCTTTCTTTTCTTTTCGGTTTTAATCGATCCTATTACGGTTGGCTCGTCTGCGAACACGGATTAATGATACAAGGTGTAAGTCTTATGAGATGTTTTGTTTTTAACTAACCAGATATTGTATAAGGAGCAGCCGCTAGCTAATAGAGCAGACCATTTTAAATGTATGGATTACTCTCCATCAGTTCACTTGATATTGAAGACATCCATCCAACTTGGTAAATTGATTTTGTTCAGATCGCTTGAAGTGTTGTTCTTATCGGGCACCAGGCGGTAGACTCTTAATCTGACCGTATCCTGTTGACCGGCCTTTCCGTTTACCTGTTATCTTGGACTGGTATGTATCATCCAAACTAAGCCGCACATAAACTGAGCCTTTCGAGAAATACATTCATTTGTAAACCAGTTAGGTTTTCAAGAGAGACTCAACTGAATCTCTCGTTTATGATACGGAAACTCGGGGACTGCGCCTACCTGATGAGCCCGAAGAAGGACGAAACCGGTCGTGGGCTGTCGAAGAGTTTTAGACAGCTTTGTGAGTAGATTCCTTTATGAAAACTGAATCTTTATTTTGACCCATTTTCATAAACAACGGCAAAACTGAAAAAATCTTTTGAAAGGTGATTCACCCGGCGCCGAGCTTTAACCGACTGACCTCAAAAAACTTTTCCTTTTCAGATCTTGTGGCTTTAGATACAGGTATTAATTGCTGCCGTGATCAATGGAAGCTTGGTTCCGATGAGTGTTGTCATCTTAACCCCATACTTCACAAGTTGAGCTGGGCTGACGTAACAGATCCATCGTGTGTCCAGTAATCATTAGTAGGGATAGAGTACAACTTCCAGCCTAAACGTTGTTGTCTCTTCTGTCTTGCTTGGGCTGTATATGGCTTTGACGAATCTCCTCCCAAATCGTTACAGGTCGAGCCCACCCAGCTCTTGTTCCAGCCGACTTACCTCCCCTGACGCCCACAACAGCCAAGCATTTCCAACGATTGGCGGGTCTTCAAGGTGTAAAAACCAAACAGTTCAATACGGATTACACAATCTCTGATGAGTTGGGCCGGGGCTCATACGCCATTGTGTACAAATGCATACACCGTACTAGCAGAAAAATTTTCTCAGTCAAAGTAAGTTCCTTTATGGTAAAATAACCATAAAACTGTTTATCCATCCTAGTTTTCTTTTCAATTATAGCGAGGGTTGGTTAAAACAGTTTGTATGGTACGGAAGCACCGGTGCTAAATACTCGTGTTTTGTCGATGATGAAAGCCATCAGTGGTTAGACGCTCTCCATAGAATGTTTTACTACTTCACTAGGCTTAACTTCCGGCTGGTTCACAAGAACAATTCCGAACTGTTTTACTCAACTTGATTAGTTAATAATATATATATATATATCATGGGAACAACCAATTTAATGGTCCCGGCGTATGAAATTCTGCAGTGACCCCCGTTTATACATCTGTATCTTTTGATTCCACCAATATAGAACGCAAATAAATAAGCCACAGGCTGCTATCCATCTTAGACACCAACAAAGATACTTTATGGCCTTACTTCACACATCAATACGATTTTATTAATAAAAAAGACCCAAAATGTGACAGACCGATTCACTGAATCGTGAGTTAAGCTACCCCAAATTGTTGTCACTCATGAATGGAATTAGCATATTCCACTAACATTTGACTAATGGTCTATGCGCTCCCAAAAAAGCGAAAAGGAAGGCCTAAACTGCCTCGACAACCAAAAACGGGAGATTCAGATATTTTTAGCTGGGGCTCCCGTCAAAACCGAATTCATGTGTATATGCGAGCACTTGTCGTGAACTTTCGGTTCCCCCCATAGTGGTTTTGTTTTTATCACTTTATTGTAATCTACTTATTTCTGTTCCCTTATTATACATGCTGGAGGCAAAATAAGTCAGGTACTATGATTTTCTAAGTACAAGTTCTCCCCAATGTCGACCGTGTGTCAAATGTTGCCCTATGAAAACTCTGCATAGGACAAATTATACACCCCGCACAAAAACATACTGATTCACAATGACTGCTAGATGTTCTTAAATGAGTATTAGTTCCCCGAAAATTATGCCTACTTAAGGAGAAATCGAGTAGAAATTGAAACTGCTACCTGTCACACATTGTCTGATGGGCTTATATACTCGTTAATGTTGGTGATTTGGAACTGTCCAACTCCTATAAGTCTCACAGGCGACATCATACATAATACCGGATTTGGTGACGTCACCAGGACGATCCATTTTAGTATGGATTACATCGAAGTGTCAATCCAGATGCTGTTATATATGTAAGCCCCAAGGCCATCGTGATGCTCCACGAACTTTCCGCCGATAGATACCTCGGGTTTTGTCACAAAACATTCATGGCACTTGTGACAATCACAGAACGACGAGCGCCTGCAGTCCTGGTTTCTAAAGGTTCGGATAGGTTCATTGGTATGTCGCAACTAAGAATACGTCCTTCAGGTGGAGCCAATCCGAGGAGCTCTGCCCAGCAGTTTCAGTCCCATCAAGAAACCCCACAGTGCGCACATCACAAAACTGCAAAGAAATTCGAACCCAAAGCCCCGCTTTTCGGCCACGAGGGACCAATCAGTGTGATTAGCTCGCACACAGTCAAGATATAATGCCATTCATGCTTCAATCTCGTAAACTACATCATGTGGTCACATATTAACTGACTCCTCGAGCGACGACACACACCTTGCAGAAACGCACCATGTGACCAACGGAAAGGAAAAGATTAGAGCTGCTGGCATGTGTTTGAATCTAGGGCGTAAACCCATAGGCCCAAAGTACACATACAACGAAGTCGTTTCATTTCTCCCGGGACCCGAAAGACTGGATTCGTATTTTTATTGCGGGCACACAAACACATTCAGTGTGAAATATAGTTTGCTGAAGGACAACACAAAGTGGTTGAGGTTTTTTTGACGGTATCGTCTTTCTAGACTCCAATGCACAAATGAAATAGAGTGAAATCGATTAGGAAAACGGAAAAACTTTGTGTCGTAAAACTGCGTTACAAGTGAACGGATTCAGATCACAGAATCACAAGGAGTTGTAGGCTCCCATGACGCCTGAATCTGACAGTTTGGTCACATAATCAAGGAACGTGAATGAATGGTACGTGTACCAATGGTTCAAACTTAAATTCTGGTTCAAAACCGATCTGTGTAATTTCAGGATCATACGGTGTAATTAGTCCTATGACTCTAGCACAAGACACTTTTCGTTCGTTTGAGCTTGTAAACACATCCGGAGTTTTAACGCTCCACAATTTGTTTATTGTTTATCTGTGAAAATTAATCATTCCATTTCTTTAAAATGGTAATAGCTTTCTTCGCAAGACAGAACTGTTGTCGTAAACGACTTGGGAGTTTTTTCTGACACCTCATGATTAATTTTTGGTGGGGGGTTAGAATGAGTTTATCTGATATATTTTTGTAATGCACTACTCATAAGGCTGGTGTTCAAAACAGATGTGTACACAGAGGTGCGAAAATTTGGTATTTGAACCACGGGAACGTGAACAACAGTACTACATGGTAATATACATTTTATTGGGGACTTATCTAAATCATTTCATTCTGTACGCAATATCAGAGTCTTAATTTCTCTTGTTAACGAAAACAAACTTTTCTCGCGTCATCGTGCTTAGGGGCGAATTTTCGATGAATTCATCGTAGTCACTTGATGCGAAAACAGGGGTCGATTTGGGGAGAATTCAGAATGATCAATCTATCGAAAGGGCTTTGAATCAGTGTTTGATAAATCTTTGATGGTTGTTCGAATATGTTTGATATATTCACCATGGCCCACTTGGTAAATCTTGGAGTTTGTGTAAATTAACTGAATAAAAATCATCAGAAACGGTTTCATAGTGTTTCATTGATGTAGATCAGTCCTAAAGCGGCTCAGCTGCACGAAAACGAGGTCCGTCATTGCTATATAATCACGTAATCTGACAAAGAAATAAAGACCTACTTAAACATGGATGGCAAATTCGATCCAACCTCGTGTGTTTACATCCTCGTCTGGACATTTCGAATTTCCGTCAACATCCATTTCCAGTCTGATCAACTCTACAATCAACCTTGCGTGTTTTGGTCTACTGTGCGTCTGCACGTACAGACAATAAATCTCGACGTTTCCAACACCGACCAGACCACCGACGCCCACATGGTTGAATGTGAGTGAATTCGCCTTGCCAACCGAGTGAATGTGCGTCTAAATCATTAAATCGAATTCCTAAAATGGTGATCAAAATCTTCTTTTGTTACCTAAACAACCTCCCGTCTGTAAGCGGACCATGGCCCACTTGAGAAATCTTGGAGTTTGTGTAAATTAACTGAATAAAAATCATCAGAAACGGTTTCATAGTGTTTCATTGATGTGGATCAGTCCTAAAGCGGCTCAGCTGCACGAAAACGAGGTCCGTCATTGCTATATAATCACGTAATCTGACAAAGAAATAAAGACCTACTTAAACATGGATGGCAAATTCGATCCAACCTCGTGTGTTTACATCCTCGTCTGGACATTTCGAATTTCCGTCAACATCCATTTCCAGTCTGATCAACTCTACAATCAACCTTGCGTGTTTTGGTCTACTGTGCGTCTGCACGTACAGACAATAAATCTCGACGTTTCCAACACCGACCAGACCACCGACGCCCACATGGTTGAATGTGAGTGAATTCGCCTTGCCAACCGAGTGAATGTGCGTCTAAATCATTAAATCGAATTCCTAAAATGGTGATCAAAATCTTCTTTTGTTACCTAAACAACCTCCCGTCTGTAAGCGGCTTCCTCGTGTAACTTGTTCAAACAGCAGCGATGTAAACCCTATTTTGTCGAAGCGTTCCAAAGTTTAAAAAATGACTGAGTGGTTTTGGATCACATACGATGGACGTGTGTACCAGAGGAGGATGGGATCAAGAGTTCAGGCAAAATTGCAGTAACTGACCAGATGACCTGGAAGCAAGTGCATTCAAGAGATGTCTTAATACACAGGTGAATATCCTACAGGGCTAGGTGAAAATGGACAAAAACAAACAATAACTGCTTTGAATGGTGCAGCTTATTAGGGCTAAACAGAAGGAGTCTAAAGAGGCTTCTCAAATGAGAATTGGAATAAGCGACAGTAAACACACACTTGACTGAATTTCGAAAAAACCTGAATTCTTTCGACGTGGTTGGATCCACCGTATTCCTCAGCTGGCATTCGACGGTGATAACCAATTGCTTGAATTTTTGGTAAACCTTCTTACTATTCTGCTACCGTCATTAACAAACTGAAATGTTTCATTCTAGTTTTCAAGTCTGTTGGCAGGTAATCAGCAACTAACTCATAGTCACCAGTAAATAAAAATTCGTAACCAAATTGATGATACTGATAAGTCAGGGCAATTTAAACTCTCGTTTGGAGATTTTATTCTAAAGAGCCATAAGAACTGTGTGGTGTGTGGTCGTTCTCTCACTGTGCAGATCTTTCAAGCCTTATGAGATATCGACAATGGCAAACTACGGGCCAAGGGTTGGATCATGTTTCCATCCAACCGTGTGTGATGACCGATGAATTTACGCTTTGTACACTTCAATTGGCTCTCTCCATTTCACACTAACCAGTGCCTACAGTCCACGTTAGACGCCACATGAACTATTTAACTGTTCTCCTTCTGTTTGATTTGTATTTTGTCTCGGATGGTAGCTACGTCTTCGACGCCCACTTTTGTCTTCCAAGCTCAGGCATCTTCCATTTTAGTTATGTTCTATTCCTCTTACTGAGTATCTTGTTAATTTTTGTGTACATATTTAACGCCCTGCTATTGGTCTCCAGAAATGAAGTGTTGCTTGATGTGACCTGACGGAAAAGGTAAACCAAAGTGCTAAACACAAGTACATTCATCTGCAAATCAATTTGGTTCACACGGGAAACTCAAGTGAATCTTTCGTTTATGATGTGCTTCAACTGGATGTGCTGCACAAAGGCCGCCTCATATTTCAGTTGATACAATATTCAAGGTATCTCAACATATTTTCATGAAGGAAACTACTCACAAGGTTGCTGAAAACTCTTGGACAGCCCACGCCCGGTTTCGCCCTTCTTTCATTTTTTATACTTCGTGTCATCAATGATATCCCTGGTGCCTTGAATATCACTCCAGCGGAAACACGAAAAACATCTTGTGTGAATTAGGTTCGGTCGAAGGAAATCACAAACGAGACATCCAGGTGATTTTCATTTCCCCTCCAGCTGGTTCAAACTCAGTTTGAAAAAGGTTGTTTTCAATCAATCTCTTAATTCAGGTCATTTATTAAATCCCTCTCTCTCCCATTTTATAGGTGATTGACAAGGTCAAACGCGATGTGCGGGAGGAAGTGGAAATCCTAATGCGATTACACAGTCATCCAAACATTGTCCGACTATGGGATGTGAGTTTCATGGGGCTGCCACACTTTCTGCTCTTTCCATGTCGCAAGCGTTCGCACCGATAGAGAGTGAACTATCCCTCATTGGAGAACATCGTTAGAATATGCAGATTTTCAAACAGCATCTAAAACTTTTGTGAAAGTTCACAACACTGGTGTGATCAACGCTTAGAAAAGATTGAAACGTTGAAAACTCCGCTTCACAAACTTAGGAAAATAAAACAGCCTACCCTCTACAATGTTTAGGAGGTGCTGCTGTTTCGCGTAGTTTTACGGGCTGTTGTGTCACGTTTGGAAATTTTATAAATATAAACAAGATGAACAGACGTTACCTAAGGTTACCCGGTTTCCCCAGGTTTTCACGAGATTTTTTTGTTCTTTTTTACACATGGAACTGGTTTGTTCGAAATCATCCAAATATTGTGATGAAACTGACTGAACATATCAGTGCCATCTTAGAACAGCTCACAGTGGAACCAGAAGAAACAAATCACGCGTCAGAATTTTGCTATCATTCTTCATCACGTCAGTTCTACAGCCACATAATCATGGTATCGTTAGAATAATACGGCCGTTTTACTCTTCGTTTTCGGTACAATAATTTACACAGTTCTTTAAGTAAACAACTTTCACCGTCAAGTTAGACCTAACAAACAGGCGCTCTCACGGGAAGACTGCCAATCATATTTTGTTACGTGCGAGCTTATTGCAGCTTCTTCGCTTCTGATTGCGTCAAATCACATCGGTGTTTTTATGTTCTGTAAGGCGTCGAACAGCGCTCCCGACTTTTATCGATTGACAAGGCAACAAGCTACATCGAGCTTATTTTTTCAAGAGTAATCTGTCAATCTGTCGGATTTCCTCACGGATTGAGTCGACAGCAAGAGCCTATCAGTCTGATGCAGTTTCGATAAGACCGAAATTCTGTTCGAAAACAATCTCCAAACGTTTGTTTTTATTAGACTGCAAGACAAGAGGTTGGATTTAGTCAGTTTACTGGACTTCACTAGCAACTGATAATTTATCAACCCCTATACAAAATAATTGATTGCTTAATTTTTTTGGTTTTTCACGTGGCATTTTTTGCGCGACAGTGTGCAGTAAAAGTCTAGGTATGGCGGTTTTTTCGGTTTGTATCCTTTCGCTTTTACAATTTAGTGAATTTATTAAAGTTAAGGGAATACCTTTTATAATGCAGATCATACTTCGAACGCATTACGTTTTCCTTCACGTGGCATGTGGGGTTACAGGTAGGTAACCGTTGAAAATGAACGAAAGATTCTTCTGGGATGTTTTTTATTGCATGTGGTCTGACTTTAGTGATTTGCAGAGGTCAGCAAAATTGTAGCCTAAACTGGATGTTGCAATCGGCTGAATCAACAGCCACCTGGCATACTGGTCTGTGTAAATAGGTTCGCAAACGTGTCCTTTCAAGGAGCTGACTACATTCAACCGTGCTAACTGTCATCTGGCGACCGTCATTCTTCTTTTTTCAACATTTGTTAAGAGTGTCGAACCAAATAGTCTTTTAATAACAGGCTGTACGGTCAAAATGCCATTGCAAGCTACCGGCGTGTGACTTGCCGTTTGGTTACGTTGTTACTCCGAAGAAAGCTTACCAGAGTCCTCTGAAGATACTCTATTTGATGGTGTGGATCTGAATAGACCGATTCAAAGTTACAAATTAGATATACTACTATACGGTTTACTACTTCATTTTCAATCGATGAAATCAATTTACAAAGGCATCTTTGAGCAGGAACATTCAACCATGATCTTGAAGAATCAGTGGGTGTGGCTGAACACTACCTGAATACTTCTAGCAAGTCACCTACAAAAGCTTATATGGCACAGGACAAAATGAGAGAGAGAGGAGCCATAAGAAACCACCAGTCACACTGAGAGCTGTCCACAGTGCCTCATCAGATTGCGGGTGTTTCGAGAAATCATTCGCATTTAGCGTCATTCATACGAATGACGCTTTCAAAAGATGGACAGCATATGTGTCACTAGTGCGTTCCACTACACTAACCGCTTTATTGCATCTCCAGTCACGTGAAACTTATTGACTTGAATGTGTAGTCAGATGACACAATAGTTATTTGCTGACCATATGATAAACGCAACAGTTTTAGTCACTCTGCGGTGATGAGATAAAAGGTTAACCGACTGTTGACTTGTGACTTATTTTACAGTTCAACGCAACCAAAGAGTGAGATAGTATCGGTGTGCTTTAGCCGTGCTAGACGATAACTTAAGTAGAATCCCAGCTCTTGAACTAAAAGCTCATCTGCATGCAATTTCGGCTAACGCTTTGCACGTGAAGATGCATTTACTAGAACTGATTACGAATACATCAAAAACGTTCTTCACTCGGACAAATTGTCCGTAGCCTAGTTATGAAGGCACTGTGAGTTAACTAAGCAGAGGCCTGCAGTACATCTCAGCTTATATCTTTTTGCACGTTACTTATGTAAGCCGTATTTGTTTGGGCAGTTCTTGAAATAGTATTGAAATAGGCCGGAACTTTTTGCAAACTTCGATGTTCGTAGAACTGTCGAAAACATTTGCTGCAACGTGTTTGCTAGCGTCGTCCACATACTCTTTGGATTAGTTCTATGTTTCGATGAGTCGAACTAGCCTTCAGACCTGCTAACATTCTAATATCGTTAGGTTGTGCGGCAACTGGGACTGAACCGAACCGGACTAAGCGTGACTTGTCAGCGTTTAACAGAACTCCCTGGCGCAGGCTTCGTCAGATTTCATCCACAGGTGTCTGATCGTCTAAATTCGGACCGATCATATTGTCTATGTTTATGTTCCATACATGTTGACTATTTTATCACCAGTCTGGAACCTCAAAATTGTAGTGATTAATGCAATGCAGCATCAGTATAGTTGTCACTAGATTGTCGTGCACTTGGCTTTCAAGGCCAAAAGCCTAAAAGTGTTGCAAACCTTTTACTGGATACGAAGTCATTTGAAACTAGTCCCAGTTATTGTTGGCCAGTATAGTACGCTCAGATCTCGGATCGGTTCATGCACTGTGCAAATTATAGGCTTTTTCCCATTTGACTTATCGTATGTATATTCTCGCTCAGATCATTTGCCCACCTCTTTGTTCAGATAATAACCCGTGTTGCGCACACAGACAAACCTTTGTTTCCTGCAGGCAAATGCCCGGACTACCTGGTCAATAATGCATTTTTTTACCCATTAGCTGGTTCAATTTGAGCAAACCAAAATGGAGCTGGAAATCGCGTTGTCCATTCTGTTTCGTCGAATGATCCTGCCGACTGAAACTAATGAATTATTCGTTAGACACGCAAGTAAACACATAGGTCTACATGTCAGAGACAGAAAATTCAAAGCGCACAAAAATTTGTAGAATTCGTGAAATTTATTCTTCCTTTTTTTGGGATACATTTCCATGGCCGTTTTGAAATATAAATTAGATTATAATTACGATAGAAAAGCGAGAAATTTCAGGTATTTTTACTCGATATGAAATGCGGCTTAAAAAATCCACAAAACGTTCTCCATTCCCTCAATTCGTTTTCCAATGAATTCAACCATAATGAAAGTATGATCCTTGGTGTCATGTGAAGAGACACTTTGAAGTGGCGCAGAGTTTAGGTCTGTTTATTCAATCTTCCTAGTCTCCGTGACCAGTGAGACTCTGCATCGTAGTGTTCGTGGTCATTTTAGGGGTTTGTTTCTTAAATTGCCGGCAGCTAAACCTCGATAAGTAAATAGGTTGATTTTGCTTTTGGTTCAATTTTAACTGACTCATCATGTAAACTTTACATCAGCGGTAAAATAAGATCTCAATAAAGAAAAACGTCCCAAATAAAGCCAGTTCCCTTTTGATGGTCTCCTGCTTACACATCATAAACTTACCTCCGTTTACAAATGGGTGTGCAAAACCTCTAAATACATCCAAACGCTGAGTAATTATCAAACCCATTATGACGTACTTCCTCGTAGATCTAACCGATCTCAGACGTTGCACATATTTACGCGTCAGTTGGCCACAATCCAGTTGTCTCGGTCCAACTAGATCTGTTCAGGGTTCGTCAGCGTATGGATTTTAGGACGGTAGGATCTCACCGATTGCGACTCAGTTGCGCGCGGTTTTTGTTCCATTCCATTAGAGTTGTGATGCGTCAACCGGGAGAACCAGTGACAGGAAACAAGCATTCTTCATGCTGAACACTGTCACAACTAGTCAGTACCAGATATTTCCGCTAGACATTTCATGCTTCGAAAATTACTTGTTTTTTACAATCATTCAAAGCCTGTCAGTGATGGGATACTGAATGTGGTACTAATTTTATTCTTTTGGCCGGGAAATTCTCATGAAAAAGGGCGTTTACATACGACAAATGTTTTTTTATATTTTGAATTGTTTCTGTCTTTTATCAAACAGCAACACGTTGCTGAAAAAAGGCTAGCCAGCAACCAGGAAAAACGTTTTATTTTGTCATCATTCTCGCTATTTATATTATTCTGTTAAATCTGAATAATATAATACATATGTATAATATCTGGTATGGTCATTTTGGGAAAGTCTATGAAGTCTCAGTGTGCAGCTTTCCATATGAAGAGCTTTGGGTCACAATCCATGTTAACTACTGCCGAAGGAATAACAAGGTCTGAGTATTCTTGACGGAACATGCTATCCAAAAGTTTGCTGAATACACTTAGATAGCCCATGACCAGTTTCGTCACTTTTGAGGCTCATCAAGTACGCACAGCCTTGAGCTTCTGTCAATCCTACGTTACACTTAAACCTTAGTCTCACAAACTTCACGAGATGCAATAAATTAACCAATAATTTGTTTTAAACGTTAGACTCAAGTAAATGCAGCTAAATCTTGGGTTTCCGACACTTTTTCAACTGAATTTGCTTCACATGGCTGACTTATGTTTTATTTGATATGATATGCGACATGTAGTTGTCATTTACTTGAAACAACGTAAAAAAGAAGTCATATGGCTTT